CCCGATTTTCCCGATTTTCGGGTCATTGACCTGACCTGGAAGGTCTCCCGATGACCTAGGACCTTGAAATTGGATATCACCGGCTTCCTCTCGTGACGGGCAACACGCTCGTTTTTTTTCCGCGAAGCTGTAGCTCGATCAGGGGCAAACGCGAGGGGGGGGGGGTCGTACCTCCCCCCCCCCTTGTGCCGTCGATGGACGCAAAATGGCCTGTGCCGGCGAGGGTTAAAAAGATTTCGCTTCGCTTGCGCGGTCCGTTCGCTCGTATATTTCTCCTTCGTTGTAACCCTCGCCCGTATTCGTGTTTGCCAGCGTCTAACGCATATGGGGGGGGGGGGGGGTCCGTTAGACTCTCCTTGCCGTTTGGCCTCTGATGGAGCTAGAGCTTCGCAGAAAAAACGAGCGCGTTGCCCGCAACGAAAGTAAGCCGATGATACCCAATTTTATGGTCTTATTTATGTCACTGGTTGACCTTCCAGGTCAGGTCAATGACCCAAAAATCGGGAAAATCGGGACTTGCTGGAAGTTCGTAAAGTGAGGTTGAAAAAGGGATTTTGTGGGGTGCTGAACACGTAGTTCATGTTAGCTTTGATCACATATCTTTGATGTCTTAATGTATTTAGGCCAGGTCGGGTCAGGTCAGGTCAGGTCAACCATAAGGTGACCTGCCGGCCATCCATAGCAGGTGTTGACCACTATTGACAGCTTCGTAGCATACGAGGGCACCAAAACTATTTCATAAATCTCCAAATGGGAATTCGAAATCAGCCCCAGAAACTACCATAGAAACATGTAAAACTCGAAATAGTGAAGCAAGATCATCAAAGGTCAATGACTTTGACCTGACCTTCACAGGACCTTGAAACCCACACCAAAAAAAGATTGGAAATTGCGCGGATAATGTGAGCCTCAGCCGCCATACGCCAATTCGCGATTCCGGTCAAACATGGTCTCGAGAATCAGACCATGAATCAGGTCAAAGGTCATTGGGGTGAGGGTCATTAAAGTTTAAGAGTAAGTGTAAAATTGATTAACTCGAGGGTGCTGAAAGTTTCGTTGCGATCGGCCGCTTTTTGCGCGAATTATTCGCGAAAAACCGGGAGGGGGTCCGTTCGACCCCGCTATACAGGGTTGGGCAGATAAATTGGGACAAAATACATATTTGCATTTAGAACGCCGTAGCTTAGAAATTTGTTAACATAGGCATTTCAAATTTGGATCACATATTGTCTCACCAATTTTACACATTTATCACCAAATATGGTCACCGTGGTCCGCCTGCATCAGTCCTTATCGGTGCCTGGACTGGCCGCACGCACGGCGAGATCTCCCGTCTGAAATGACTCGTAATTGTAGCCAACTGACACTGCTGAGGCTCACCACAGTCACATGAGGACGTCCGTTAGACTAACCCGCAAAAACGCCCCAGGAACCAAAACTTGTGTGGGCTGAGGTTTAATGAGGAAGGGGGCATTTTCCCTTGGGTACAGTTTGCGGGATCCTTCGTTTCAGGAGATTTTGTATTTAACCCTCGCCCGCACATGCCATTTTCCCATCCTAGAACGCACATGGGGGGGGGGGGTGGTTGCCACCCCCCCCCCCGCGCCATTTCGTTCCTGTTGGAGATAGAGCTTAGCGGTAAAGACCAAAAAGATTCTTTGGGAAGAGACGAATCCAATGATACCCAGTTTTACCTTCTCAGGTCAGTCATTGACCTTCCAGGTCAGGTCAAACTAAAAAATGTTGCTGTTTTGGGTCACCGTTGGATATCAAGTGTGCTGCTTATCAAATACCGATGACGATGCTGTTTTCTGGTGCCAAGCCAGCTAGAACCTCTTTGTCACACTACCCGACCAGAATTTTGCTGCTGAGGTCATTTCAGGTCAAGTTAGGTCAAGGTCAATTATATGTGTTTGTATGTCTGTGTGTGTCTGTGTGTATACTGATGTGTGCACCGATTGTTTTTGGGTCCATATTACATGAAATCATGATCTGAGAAGCTTTTACCAAAAATGCAGTCAAAAAAACTTCAAAAAAGTAAATTCAGCTTGCCTAAAACGCAATTATCTTGGATGACCTAGGTTGACCTTGACCCTGACCTTGACCCCTGTACATCGTCGAACAACATGTTCCATGTTAGGTGGGAGGTAAGACTGGCAAAAAAGGCCGAAATCAGGGTGTCAAAAGCTCATAAGGCCCATGGCAAACGCAATATGTTGAGAATTGGCCATTTGGGTCATGACATGACCTGACAAACAAGGTCATATCTCCGAAACCAAAAATCACAGAAACTTGAAATTTTCAGTGGACATCAAGAAAGGATAGAGGAGCAGCTATACGAAAAATCAGCCTTCTAGCTCTAAAAATGTTGAGTGCAGAGCAGAAAGACTACCTGGGGGGGGTGGCAACCACCCCCCCCCCCATGTGCGGGCGAGGGTTAATTTACTGTATGCCGGGGAGCTGACTCCTCGAAGAGCATCACTCCATGTAGGATGTTGCCTTCTTCCATCTTGTTGATTCGAACTGCCGGAATAATGATTAGGTACCCTGTAATGGTGAACCCCCTCCCGATTCCGTAAAATAAGGGGGCCCCACGTGACCGTCAGAAGTCACCGAGTGGAATGCCATCACCGATGTCTGCTGCATGCTTTTTGGAACTAAGATCACGTCTTCTGGGCTGGTTGCGATGTTACATGGTGTTTGCAGTTGTTCATATGTTCGGTTATGGGGATACCATCGTCGAAAAAGACCTGCACGTGCTTGCTCGCTTCTCCAAGCCCTTCAAGAGGAAACAATCTTTTTAACGTCACAGCTGCTTCAACATCTATGTTCACAGGTTAATATGCATCAATGCATAAGAGTACATGGTTGAGGTGCTGGTATATCGCTTTCTCATGGCTGGGCTACCTTCGTTGTAAGCTCGCGCCACTGTTTTTGCTAGGATCCTCTGATTTAACTGAATTTTGCCTTTTAGCCCCCCTGGAAAACCGGGGGAGCGGCCGGTGTCAATGCAATAGGCATGTAAGGATGACTCAATATTAGCTCTTCCTCCAACGTTTACGTCAGTTCGATACACACTACTTTCAGCCATTTGATGGAGCATAATTAGAGTATTGGCATGCATGTGCGCGCGGACTAAGTTGATAGTGGCTTGCTTAAGCCTACGTTCTGTGACCAGCCGACTCAAAATTACAACGCAACCTGCATAACATGGAAAAGTATTCATTAGCCTATACCTATTTATGTTCAAAAATTATCTTTATCACTCAAAAAATAGTCGTTTTAGAGGAAGTTGAAATTTGTCCCAATTTATCTGCCCACCCCTGTATGTAAGTGCGAGTGTTAAGTCACTAAAAATCTGTCTTTAAAGTAAAAACAGTTTATTCCTCGAGCTGAGAGGCCAGAGTTGTACAGTTGGAGTAGGTACTTCAACATATCATGTAGGTATTTGCTTACATCCATGCACACATTCTCGAATTAAACATCAATAATACCCACTAAAGGCATATTGCTCTTTGGAACGTCGCTTTCGGTATGGGGATATCATGGGTCTGAGCCAGCTGACACGGGTGATACCCCCTCAGTGGGGTTCTGGCATGGCCTGCGTTGGATCACCCACCACCGCAATGGGCGGTTCCTCAAAACCAGCGTAATTGACCGGTGTGAGGCGGCGACGTGAGGCACGCGAGTGCGGGACCGTCCCCATGCCGTGGCGGTCCGGGTTAGGGGAGCAGCCCCCTCCCCGCGCGGCGGGCGGTCGCCCATTCATCCGCGACCCCAACCCCATGACTGAGGGGTTGACAGAGGGCAAACATCACGTATTTAAACTGGGCAAACAGACGGTGTTCTACGCTAGGGACATCTCGCGGCTGTGATTCACGATACTGCTTCGCCAAACTGCCTTTAGATGGTGGGTCAGTCGGTGTCCGTCTGCTGCTGTGCGCCGAGAATTCGCCCTATAAATTACCATGAATTACACCTTCTAGTGACACCTATCCGTGCTTCTATCCTCAGGATACTGAAATCCTTCTCCTCCACGCCGCAACCCCCCTCCGGGCTGGACAGGCAACTTTATCTCATGCGGGCTGCTCCCTTGGAGCGGCACCGCTGCTCCTGAGGGAGCGCACCCCGTAGCCGGGTGCAGTGAGTGCCTTGGGGCTGGGTGGCCTGTCCTCTGGACGGGCTCAGCCCCGGCGACTCACTAGGGTGCCTGCCCAGACCAATGTCTCCCCCTAATTCCTATCATCCTTCCGGCTCTGCAATGGTCTTGTCGACCGAAAGGGCCTAACCCAACAAAACAAAAAACAAACAAAAAACCTTCTAGTGTGACGATACAATCACATTATCATATAGGTCGCGTTTAGATGCAAATGAAGAAACGACTGCGTTGAAAAAATATGTCATTTCATCGAACGCTGAAATGCTCGAAGTGCTCGCTAAAAAATGAACTCGCTAACTGAGCCCTAAAGGTCGGCTGCCGTGTTGCATTGCATTTAAGCCAAAAACGCGGGCTGGGTGTAAGTTGTCGAGAAACAATTTTTGGCCTGAAGTGTTCTCTAAAGTATTATCTACATAGATCCAGGGAACATATTTGCTATCTATGATGGCTTAGGAGATATTGCATCTTAAGTCCTCCGGTGTACCCTGTTTTGCGGCGGCCCACGTGTTAAAAGCTGCTGAACATTTTTACTTTGACCAAAAAACGCGGGCACAGTTTTGTCTGTACGAAAATGACTCTTGTCCTATCGCATTCCACGTGAGCTGAAGATTCAGAAACCAGGGAACATATTTGCTACGACCAGTACTTCTCACGATTCCGACCGAAACGTGAAAAAATAGCCCCAAAACCCTATGGCGGGCGCCTCTCCGCGGCGCCCGGCCGCGGGTCGCTAGTTCCCGAAACGACACACCATGACGACTAGCGTGACAGACCAATGAGCTGTTCAGTACACAAAGATGGTAAGGTGCTGCAAAGCATGTATTCTTTATACTGACGGTACCTGTGACGGCTGTATGACATGTTGCTGCAGCCCGTCCATCGAGATGACGTGCTCCTGGACGGGCGCCACCGGCTTCTCCTGTCCGTGTGCGGGCGGCTCATCAGCGTGGACGGGCGCCGGGGAATCCAGGCCCGTCTCCACCACCTCCTCACTGATCTGGGGGACGATAGAGATTCGATGAGAATGAATGTCTCAGAGACGGAGAGGGGTCACGCGGGTCACGCACGGTTGCTTGAGTCAATCACGGTAGCGACCACTTTTCACAGTGATATTCCTAATTCATCACCGCACAAGACCTTCGACGATGGAAAACGATGAAACGACGAATCATGTTATTGACATGACGTCTACGATAACATCACGGTTATATCAACATACGACAGCCAGGAAGAAAAGGGTGCTGTGCTAGAACTAGGCTGTGTTCACCTATTGAATATCATCTCCACTTCAATGAATACCTCCTATTCCACCTCCCTCCCTCACCTCCACGGATTTGACGGTCTCCTGAGGACAGATGTAGCCGAGCAGCTCCCCGGCCAGCTGGTAGAGCTCCAGGAGCGCCTCGCAGGCGTCGCACTGCTCCACGCGTATCGGCTCGTCCTTACTGTTCTCCCGGTATGTCTGAGGGTGAGGACCGCCGACGAAAAGTAACACACACCTGCAATGTACCGATATATTTATCTGAACTGTAGCTGTAAATCGCTGACGCGATAGCGCGATACTATTTTGCGATCACGCTAAGTAGCACGACGCGAGATAATCCAGCACTAAAAATCAGATGAAATTTTTACCTCTACGCAGTCGCGATATAGGCATGCAAGTAACAGTATCGATATGCATGTGAACAATACCAGGTCCAATGACAGCCTGACCTTGTCCCTTTAAACACGGCCCGCAGCCGGTCGGCCCTCAGCGCCTGCGCCCGTGTGCAACACACCTCCAGTGTGGGTGTATCCTCCGGGTCGCAGGTGTGTTTGCCCTCGGTGGGCGAGGACAGCATGGCCTTCAGCAGGATGACGGCCTGCTGCGACTGGCCGCCCAGCAGGCCCTGGCTCTGCGGCACGTCCTGGATCTCCATCTGTCCAAACGTATCGTAACCGCAGGTTGTTTGAAAATTGACAAACAATATTCGTTATACGCTGAACAGTTAACCACACACACGGACACGGAAGATACGTACCGCCCCCTGGACAGTAACTTAACCACGCAAAACGGAGACGTTTTATAATTTAGCATTTCGATCGCTTTAAATTCGTAATGAATCGTATTAAAGTTTCATGTTTTTACATAAAATACTCCATTGCTGAACTAATCCTAATTATATTCCATATTTCGTTGTAACATAAGCGACCGTCGTTCACACTCCACAGTCCGCCGGTCCCGCCCGTCCTCTGACCTGTTTGAGGAGCACATCGAGCATGAGGAGGTAGCAAGGCACCACGAGGTCGGCAGTATCCACCGTGTTCACCGGCACCTCCTCCTCCGGCATACAGTCCTCACCAGAGAGAGGCGAGGCCGCGCGAGACTCGCTCTGCACCACCGGACCTGGAATACGGCCGAGCGTATACACTCATAACAGTGGCGTGAGCAGACGGGCGGCCGGGCACAGTGGTGTGGGGAGATGGACGGCAGGCGAGGTGGGTGGTTAGGGGGGGGGGGGGAGAATTATAGCGGGCTTTGGTTCTGGGGAGGGATGGTTCACGTTGCGTACTCTAGCGCACAATGTGAAAGAGCAAAACAATGCATAATGAAACATTTAAAAGAGTCCTAAATCAAAACATAACTCGTTAAAAAAGCGTCAATGCCATTGCACTCTAGTAACAGGCAGGACGCGCTTAAAAAAAAAAAAAAAAAGATAGCCACCCAGCAGTTTGTAATAGATCGCCGTAAACTCACCTAGATCGCTGTTGACCTGTGACCTGATGGAGCTGACTTTCCTGGACCCGGCGCCGTCTTTGGAGGCCTGCAGGCACCGGACGCCGGTCCGCAGCATCTTGTGCAGAATCGGCAGCGGGATGGCGATGTTCACCATCGAGAGAACCTGAAGGCAGCGGGGTGGGGGTGTTGAACATTGAGGGAGCCGTCCTACCGGTAGAGGAATGGGGATGTTGAAAATTGAGATGTTCCTATGGGTAGCGAGATGAGAATTCTGGTCATAGCAAGAACAGAACCAGTCGGAGGCGGCGAAAAGGAAGGGATGGCATGGGTAGGGCAGAAGGGAAGGGGTGAAGTCAGAGCCCAGATGCCCACCTGGGTGGCAACTACAGCTGTATGTAGACCTGATGACACACTAGTGCTTCACAGATATGAGAGAAGAATGAGAAACCAGTCACAGCTTCAAAACAGTTAACGGTTACAATTCGCGATGCATTCCTCACAACACCGAGCATGGCTCACTATCACGGTGTATTCAGTCTGCAATCTGCATCATAGCCTCATCAGATCAGCCACCGACGGTCGGTGGTCTCGCGCATTTGCTCACCTGCAGCCAGGTGAGGGCCTGCTCCTGAACTCGCGGAGCCGTGGAGTGAAACCGTACCGACACGAACTGGTACATCTGGTCCGAGTCAAACCCCAGCGGAGACATGTCCGGGTCCAGCAGCTTACTGCAAAACGAGTCACAAGGACGGTCAGTGTTAGCGGTTATCAGCGTTATCAGCGTTAGCGTCAGCGTTATCGTGCTGAACTAGGCTGTGTCAAACTGCCGTTCAAAGGCAAGCAGTCGTAGCCGGCGTTCCTTGCTAAAAGGAAAACTGGGTGAAAAGCTGCGTGTTGAACATATCATCCTACCGACGATAGTAGCCTTATGGCCTAAAGTTGTATTCGGATTAATTGATCCACAGTTGATCATATCGTCATTCATTACTTTGCAGAGGCGCAAACAGCACAACTGGTCATGAAACATAGCCGATTATTAGTAATGGCGTACTTTCTCTCCCTCCCTGATTTATACGGGTGTTCCAATATAAGCGCGATCTGTCAGAGATAACGAGTATTTTATACACTAGCTCCCCACCTGAGTATGATTTTCAGTTCTGGCAGCTCGTCCTCGGGTACGTCCTGCAGGATGGCCTCCATCCAGTTGGGCATGATGTGGTTCCACAGCTCGGCGCTGATGATGTCGTACGGAACCAGGCAGAACAGGCGGTGGAAGCCCTCCTGGATGTGCTGCGTCTTCGACACCAGGCCGTCCCTGAAAAAGTATCAAACGTTAGCTATCAAAGAATTACTGTTACCATCTAAGCCAGCCGATTTAGGTCATCATTAGCCAGTGCCACTTCCAGCTAATTGAAAAAAACTGGGGCTACGAAAGAAGTAAAAATAGGCAACATATGACATCAAGAACGGTTGTACCTGGAGCACTTGACTAGAGCGTAGGCACAGTAAACGCCGAATAGAATACCCAATATTTCCTGTCCGCAAATTCTTTGACTCGGCCCCCTTAACGTACCAGTGGCCGCCGACTCTGGCGTACTCTGGCGGCCGCGGCAGCAGACACGAGGCGAACGTCTTGAAGTGGTCGGCCAGGATGGCCTGCAGCCAGCTGTGGATGTACTCGGACTTGAGCAGCTCCAGCGCGCCGCCAGTCTGGTCTGTGGACGGGCGGACGGCACGTTAGACAGCGGAACAAAGCGTACCTCAGAGCGGTATCGGCTCTCACAGAAGATCCGACCGAACAACGAGATAAGGAGTCGGCATGTTCAGCCCCCTCCAAAGACTCTTTAGTGCCCTGGGCATATTTTTAATACCGGGATCCTCACGCAACAAAACAGTTTTTTCATAACTTCTCTGGTACGAATGCGAGTTTTATTCCTCACGATACTCTTCTACACAGAAGCAATGCAAATGCAGCGAAATGTTGCCAAAAGACTGTCTGTAGTTTTAGACGGTGACAGTACTCCTTTCTCGATAACTTTTACCCTTGAAGTTCGTTTAATTCAATAAGAGCAAAGTGAAACAATTTAGCCGGCTATGCCTGCCCCCGAGCCGCCAGTCCCCACCGTACCGTCACCGAGGTAGGCAGTTGCCTCGAACCAGTTGAAGAGCGCCGCCAGCAGTCTGGCCAGCGTCTGCTCCGAGGTGGTCCGGTCGGGTGTGCAGAGGTTCACCAGCAGCCAGACGCCGTAACGGGAGAGAGAGCGACGCTCCTCGAGCGAGGGACCCTCCTGCTGGGGAGAGGCACGGGGGTGAGAGGCAGTTTTTAAGAGGAGCATGATGGCTGTGAACCACAGAAACAGAGACAGAGAGATGGAGGAACAGAGATAGAGAGACCCACTCTGGTTTGAGAAAGCTCAACTCAGAACATGACAAGCAAGGGTGACGAGCCCTTCACACCAGCAGGCGCGGGAGGTGCATGTTGAACGTCGCCCAGAACTCAAAAGGCCGCGCACTTTATGAGCACCTGAATAAACCCCGCGGTGCAGTGCAGTGGCCAGCACGGCTACGGCGGTACTCACCTGCTGGGCGTCGTCCAGTAGCCCTGCCCGGGTGTGTCGCTCCTGCTCCCGGCTGCGGCGGCTGTCGGCCAGCGGCTGGGCCTCCTTCAGCAGACTGTCGAAGGGGAGGACGAAATACCGTCGGCGAAAGGGAACAGCAGCTTGGGAGCGCGGCAGGGAACGGCGACAGTCCCCGTTAGCGAGAGAAGCTCTCCGGTCGCAAGAGCCACCAGCACTGTGACGGACTTAATGTGTGCATTCACGGGATATGTTCTGAATTTAACGTCGTTCCCACGTATGTACATGAGTATATACAGGCTTCGGTATGCACCGGGGCTTGGCCTAGCCTGACTGCGATGTAAAGACTTCATCTCGCGTGTCCGCAATCCACCAAATCCATATGTCACGGGATACCTCACCTGACCACGGCCTCGACCATATATCTGGACACGTCGGGCGCCATTTTCCACGGCGATCCGATCCGGTACTGCACGACGTGGTCGCCCCCGCGCCGGTTGTTGTGCCGGATACTGTCACACTGGGCGCAGTAGCGGATCGGCCGGTTGCCGTTGTAGGAGGCGCACTCGATGGCGAAGCACGTGCACATGGCCAGCTTGTCGCTGGAGCGGCAGTTCTGGGGACGGGTGAGAGCGGTGAGAGTGAGGTCAGAAGTGGGTTTGATGCGTCAGACCGAGACTACAAGGCGCTACAAGGCTGTGTTTATGAAGTCACAGTATTCTGCTAGCAAGCTCATTGCCGTTGTTTGACCGCAAAACCATGAGCTCAGACAGAGCCAGATACCTACATCAGTACAGCGATGCGCTGAACCACATATACCGAAAAAGTACTGCTACATAACGTTACACAACGCGCATATTACCGTGCACGGTGCATGTCTGACGGGTATTGGGTGTTTTTCGTCCATCTCAGCCTTCGACATTCCCAGATAGAATCCCCCTATCGGGCACAGACCGGGGACGGGACCCACCCGTCTCCGTCTGCCGTCGGTACCTACCTTATTCTCGCACGTGGTGGACATGTGCTGCATGGGCAGCAGGATCTCGAACATGCTGATTTGCGAGTTGGACGCGCGGATGTCCTGGGAGCAGTGCTGTAACAAGTGACATCCCAACTAGTGTCAGTACATAAGCACAGAATTCCGTCCTGGACATGTTTCTGGCCATCAGTATACCGTTTTCCTTACAGGACATGATGGGATACCTAATGTAAAAATATCCATCGTAACAAGACATTAATATTTTGATGGATAAATTCACAGACAATCACCAACAGTCAAACAAAATAGCGTTTACGTTACGTTACAATTTTTCGTCTTGATAGCAATCTGGACTGACAAAGTCAGGACCAAGAACCCCGAAAAGCTCACATTGTACCCATGGCACAATTAAGCTCATCTACCTCACCTGGCAGAGGTAGAGCGGCGGCGGGTACTCCGATCCCTGCTCAACGCTTACAGCTCAGTGCCTATCTACCTCACCTGGCAGAGGTAGAGCGGCGGCGGGTACTCGGATCCCTGCTCAAAGCTTACAGCTCAGTGCCTATCTACCTCACCTGGCAGAGGTAGAGCGGCGGTGGATACTCCGATCCCTGAAGCACGGCCACATTGTGGTCCAGGCACAGTTGAATCGCCTCGTTATTCTCGTTTGAGGGGCAGTTGTCTCTCTCACACTGATGTGGTTCCCAGCCTGTGTGGTAACACGCGTACACACGGTCAAAAAGGAACGAAGCACATGCGAAATTCCGGGCAATACATTCAGTGAAAGCAAAACAATCAGACTGTCACATGTGACTGCGACTGCGCCATTTTTCTGCGACATGTGCACTCGATGCTTCAAATGTGCTCAACTGAGCCTTAAAGAACAACGCGAAACATTTCAAGAGCAGAACCCACGCACGAAAAATCAGTCATGATTAACAAATAGGACTCACCGATATCCTCCACATCGAGACCTGGAGAAAAATATCATGACATTCAATCAACGCAGCTCTAAATCGCTTTTGCACTATTAGTTTTCAGGCACACCAAAATTGGAGCATGGTTAAAGCTGGCATTTAGCTGTCATTTTAATTTCCATAGCGCGCCATGCACTCATGTGAGTTCGACAGATCGTCAACTCACTGGAACGTTAGCAGCCCAGCTAAGCCGTACGAGTGAGCCGTTACCGCATGCTTCGACTGGTCTCCTCAATTAGCCCTCTTTCCTTACAAGCGTTCCGCTGCCTTTCCCGCAGTGTCGTGCCGCCCTTGCCCCATTCACAATGAATGCCCCGCTGCCTCCACGCCCTTCCCAGCACCCTGCGCTGACCTGTGAATTTCAGCAGGTTGTTGCGTCGGTCTGCCGAGGTGGGGTTCAGCGCTGGCCAGTAGTGGAACAGCAGGTGGGCGGCCGGCAGTCGGGCGCTTACCGTGCCGTGCGCGATGATACAGAACAGGTCACGGATCACCATCCGCCGGCGCGACATCACCGTCTCCAGCAGCTGACAGTGCAGCGCTGCGAGAGAGTAGGGGAGGGGGAGGGCAGGGGGAGGTGAAAACAACGGCGTGACAGATTAGCTGGCACAGGAGAGCCGGGTCATTTGTGGGTGTGGCGGGCGGGAAGGAGAGGAAACCAGCAGACATTTGTGGACAGTTCCGATCGAATTACAGGCGTTCTATGGCTCATATACTGAGAGCAAGATTGAAAACGACGTCCATAAAGATATCGTGCAAAAACTATTAAATTATAGTCTGAATTTATCGCGATATCGAGAGTAGGATGCCGCCTGTGTGTTGCTCACCGGTTTGGTCAGTGTACTGGAACACCACCATAACGATGGCAGTCACTGAGCTGGACGTGTAGTTCTCCACGTCGGGGCCTGCGAGCGACAGACAACATACCTATCCTCAGTGTGCTCAGACAGGGCAGCACACAGTCGTTTAATTGAGACTATCGCAGAGATTGGTTCAGGAGCTATAATTACAAAGCTCCCTTTCCAAATATCAGCGTCGGATAAAATTTGTATCGCGGAAAATTAGCGATTTCCCCATTTCTGATGGTAGCCTTCGCAATGGTTAGCAATCTTCGACTAATGGAATCAATACGTATTTCAAAATTTTAATGCCAATAAACATCGCCCATGAAAGGGAATATCGCAGCCGGTAGTGGCAGAGTCTGCTTACTGAGTATGAAAGGCAACAGGTAGTGACAGTCCCCTTAATGAGTGTGAACGGCAGCAGGTAGTGGCAGAGAGTCAGCTCCTTACTGAGTGTGAACGGCAGCACCGTTAGCGAGTCTCCTTACTGAGTGTGAACGGCAGCACTGACAGAGGGACTCCTTACTGAGTGTGAACGGCAGCAGGTAGTGACACAGGGTGTTGACGATGTCCCGGTGCAGCGACACGGGGAAGGTGGCCAGGCTGGAGGCCACCAGGTAGGGCAGCGAGTCGATCAGCGAGTGCTCCAGGAACGGCACCAGACACGACATGGTGTGCAGCAGCGACTGGCCGAAACCTGCCGAAAACACCGGAGAGTTAACGATCGAACGGCACCAGAGTCTGGTGCCGTCTCCCCGGTTATCCAGACACAACACGGTGTGAGGCAGCGACTGGCCGAAACCTGTCGGTAACATACCGGGGAGTCATAGACCCGACAACACCGGGGAGTTAACGGCCGAGCCCTGCCAAACACGACATGGTGTGCAGCAGCGACTGGCCAAACCCTGTCAATACGAGTACTAACAATGGGGAGTTATTGAACCGACAGCGGAGTTATCGGCGGAACCATGGTGTGCAGCACCGATTGTCAGAACCCTGTCGATAAACGCCGGGGATTAACCCGCGCCCCGTAGGGGGGGGGGCCGAAACGGCCCCCCCCCCTGTCCTTTTCGGTCGATATCTCCTAAACGGCTGGAGATATCGCCACCAAACTTTCAGGACCCCTCCGGGCATCAATTTTGCACATTGTGACCAAAAATTTTTCCAGAGGCTATGATAGGTTGGCCACAAATGACGTCAGAGTGACGTCATGTTCTGTCATTTTCGACCGAAAAAAGACCTTCGCGAGAAGACCTGTCAGGACTACAGCTTTGAAGATACAGAAAAATGATCTAGACATAAAAGGTGTAGAATTGACAGGGCTACAAAACTGCTATCTCGAATTTTTGAAATTTTTGAGTTTTGACCCCCCAAAATCAAAAAAGCATTTTTTTGGATATATTCGCCAAAAAATCCAAAAAGTTTTTTGAGTTTCGAAAAAACCGGAATATATGTGATAGTGCCTACCGTCTTCTATCTACATACCAAATTTCAGATCGATACCTCGTTTTTTGGCCAAGTTATAGCGAAAAAACTGTTCAAAAATGATGACGTCAAATTTTCAAACTCAATTTTTGGCAATTCTAGAACTCGTAGAGCAAAACGAAGACCACCATTAGACTCCCCGTGACGAGCTGCATCGAATCGATACCCATTTTATGCAAAAATATCAACTTTGAAATTTGACCTAATTTGACCTGACCTTGACCTGACCTTCACCAAAACGTGACCTAGGCTGGCCCCAAAGGCTGCCTAACCCACATAATCGCATTTGTCATGTAAAATGGACCATAAAACATGTATCACACGACACATTCATATTGTGACCCCCGGTGACCTGACCTCGCTGTGACCTGACCTGGTATCAGTGACCTCAGATAGCAAAGTATGTGTTTGACGAACAATGTACCATCGATGGTTTTCAATAAATTACCAATTTACTCGCTTTCACAGCACATTTCTTGAATTGCCTGTGAACGGTGAAAATCTAGACCTTTGACCTGACCTGTGACGTCATCGGTTTGACCTAGGTCAATGAAATTTGGTCACAAGGTAGTTCCCGGGTGGGGCTATCGAACGCCGTTTGAATTTTGAAAATCGGCCGGTAACTTTCCGAGATCTTAGGGGGGGCCGATACGGCCCCCCCCCCCTACGGGTGGTAGGGTCCGCCGGTAGCCCTACGGGGCGCGGGTTAATCGACTAAACCATGCCGAAACCACCGGGGTGTTATCGGCCAAGCCATGTCTGACATGGCGTGAAAAACATAACTCCGCCCGGCGCCCACGAATCGGGGGGGTGGGGGGGGGTTTACCGGCCGAATCCCAGCGACCAAACAGAGGAATAACTAATCGAGCGATGCCTATCACGGTCCGAGGGAAATATTGACAAACTTTGTAATATTAAGACACACTCGGTAATAAACGGTAAATGTAATATCAAAACACAATGCCACACACTCGGTAATAATGAGAACCACTCGGGAGTTATGAATCGAATACTGTCCAGCAGAACGGGGTGGGGAGCGTCATGAGTTGATTCCACGCCCCCACTCACCATGCACGCCGTACTGGAGCAGCGGCACTATGTCGAACAGCTGGACGAGGGCGCGGTACAGGCCCGTGTAGTCCAGGCTGGGGTACAGCGCCAGCCGCGTGCTGTCCTGGTCCGGACGCCGGAGCATCTCCAGTGGAGCCTCCGGAACGTCCTTCAGCACACCTGGGTTATGGGCCAGAGGAGGACCGTCAGGGGAGGGCAGGGTAGGGTCCCATATATGAGCTCAGATTATTCTGCAAGTCACATACGGCAGTATGACTAAGTCTCGTACAGTCGTGTACAGGTTGATGGTCCCCTACTCTTTATCCACCGGGTTCCTATGGCTCAGCATTGGCAGCAGCCGCCTGGTACCGGTAGGCTGTGCCGCATGACCCGAGAGTGAAGCGGCACAGTCTACCCACGCCGTTTGACATCGGCTCGGGTCGCCGAGTGGAGCGCTTTGTAGACCAGCTGTCGCGTCAGACCAGCGCGGGGGAGGGGCTCGTCTCGGTGGTTGGCGTGGGCTGGCGAGTGGTGTGGGGCGTGTTGGTGGACCATGGGGGCTGGGCGGGTGTGTGTGGTCACTTGCTGCATTGCACATTTGGCGTCGCTTAACAATTGCATTCCTGTTTTTGCTAAGCACAATGCACGGAAGACCCAGCGAATATAATTTACTTGTGCATTGTGCAAAACGTGATTTGGCACGGTATCGAGGCAACCATAGGTCTTATGCCACATATATGCATTTTAGGCAATACGCTTATGAAAATGGTAGATTGATCGGATTGATCCTGGATGTCAATTCGTATGCTAAATGCCGACATGTATTAAATGAACGAATGAATGAATCAATCAATCAATCGACAATCGACATGTAAATATAAAACCGTATAAATGGCTCGCAACCACTAAAATCAAACCAGATCCTAACTCGGAAAAGTAGCCGGAGCCCCGATGAGGCTCGAACCGGGACTCCACGTTGAAAGTTTTACCAATGATCCATCATCATTCCACCAAGCTAGAGCGACCGGCACCCGGAACCACAAAAACATTCATTGACTTTGCTGCCGACCTCCCGGCCCCGCCGCCCGTCCGGCCAGACTTTGCCCCGGCCGTGGCCACCATCCGGTGTAGCTCAGCGTATGAGTGCTAGACTGTCAAACCGACCGGTTGTGAGAGGCCCGGTTCAAGACGCTTCGCGTGCTGGATGTTTATTTCTGTGTCCGAGGCTATGCGATTAGTCCACTTTTAAGAAAGATTATTTGGAGACGGGTCTGTTTTCTTTCTTTGCTGCAATTCATGAGAAGACCGTATGGACCCTTACCTGTCCTTCCGCACCCCACTTGGGAGATGGGTGTTTGAACCCCCCTGGGTTTTGTGAATATCTCTAAAGCGAATTTTTGGAGGGTGGATTACGATCGGTTCTATGCGACAAGTGACCACACACACCCAGCCCCAGGTCCGCTCACTCCCTCCCCACATCACCCCCGCCCCACACCACACTCCAGCCCGCCTCATCCACCGAGCCGAGCAATAACGAGCCTCAGCGCCCCGGGGCGCGACCTGTCAGCGAACCGGCGGGGACGCGGGCCGGTTAGACAGGTTAGACAGGCCTGACCCTTACCCCCCTCCCCCCAGCCGGTGTAACGCAGCGTCCGGTCAAATCGCTCTACCAGGCGACCCGAGCCGGTGTCATACAGTGTGGGTAGGCTGTGCCGCTTCACTCTCGGGTCATGCGGCACAGCCTACCGGTACCAGGCGGCTGCTGCCAATGCTGAGCCATAGGAACCCGGTGGATAAAGAGTAGGGGACCATCAACCTGTACACGACTGTACCTACGCATGTATTGTAACGTTCAGGGCAAACACTTCGTTGACAGTCAATCATCGAGGAACACTTGAATAACTGCAACTGAGAGTTCATCAGCGGTACTGAACTCTCGAACTTATCCGAATAGGCCGCCACGAGCACCGAACATTTAGAACCGGGCCCCGTAGAACGGGATTTGGTGCCCTTTATCCTACTTCATATCCGTTTCCTGAATGTCCCGCATCACCAGCACAGCACACCTCACGACACCGGCTTCATCACACATGACACTTACCCATGAGGGTGAGGGAGAAGTACTTGAGCGTGCATGCTATGTCGAGCTCGGACGGCAGCGGTATGCCGTGCAGCAGGCGAAGGTAGTAGTCCTGCAGGTTCTTTATCTTTGCCGTGACTGCAGAAGAAAAAAAAAAGCGAATAAGACAACAATATCTCAGCTCAAAATTTTATGTTATCGATGACTTTAAAATCTTAAATGACACTTTTGAAACGTTTGACTTCTGAGAGGCAATGTAAGTTTGTCACTTCCTGAAAATGTTTACCAGACTTAAAGCTCCCCACACTGAGAGCATTGCGATTTTGGACGAAGCCGAGGTTCACGTTTAAGGTATTAGTCAGTGACCTGACCTAGCCTGAAAATGTGGCTGGCTCAAAAACAGCTGAATCTGTATTACTGTTAACGCCAGACCCCTTGAGACCCTAATTTTTCGCGATTATTTTTAAATGCGTGGAGGAATTTCAACCAAGCTCAGGACATGGCCGTTTCAAGACAGGCCGAAACTTTTACAATTTAGATATTTTATCGCCATTTCAATATTTCAGGCACTTGTCATTGACTCGTAATGTTAACTGTTTTTTCCATCCTGGATAGAGGCTTTCTACGTCATATGACATAAGGCTCCGCCCACGACTGCGGCATTGACCCGTGCCCATCAGCGACCTCTGTACAAACGACACCCCTGCCATCTGTGAAGGACTATGAATTTCGCTGACGCTTCACGTGCTATGAGTCAATTGCAGCAGACGGTCAAGTAAATGTTAGGCTCTTGTTGACTCTTGTATATAGGACCAAGAGGACCATCACTCCTCAACCTACTACTCAGTCGTGCTTCGAACAAACGTTAACGATTCCTAACAAATACGATTTTCGATGTAGGGTATCTGTTTGAAATACGAGCGAGCCGTATGATGTGAAGCTCAGGCAATTAACTTATTATTGCGTTGTTCGATGGTTGCATAGCGATGTACAAATCGGCAGCTACTTGGTGACATCCGACATCCCATTATCGCATTATCTGCAACGCCATAGGCTTTAAATACAGGTGAATATTTCCTAACCTTATGTCAGTTATATGCCATCTGCCCGTCATATGCAGCTTATATATATAAAAAAAAATATCAGCGAACATATCAGCATTGTAGAAGCAATGCGCATTGAGCATTTATGACTCCTTAGTCATCATGTCGCTCTCTGGGCACTGTCAGCCAAGACGCTACGCACAACTCCGCCGGCTTTCGGCACCGCTCGACCGTCGCCCGTCCCCGCTCCCCGCCACAGCGAGAGTGACCGCGCGCCGGCCCGAAACCGCCGCAGGCCAAGACCACAGAGGCGGGGCTTAGCTGTGACGTCATAACGTATCGCAGACTGACTGGTGATAGCCTCTACACACCGGATGAAAATCTTGCTCGAAATTTAACATTACGAGTCAATGACAAGTGCCTGAAATATTGAAATGGCGATAAAATATCTAAATTGTAAAAGTTTCGGCCTGTCTTGAAACGGCCATGTCCTGAGTTTGGTTGAAATTCCTTCACGCATTTAAAAGTAATCGCGAAAAATTAGGGTCTCAAGGGGTCTGGCGTTAACAGTAGGTAGGTATGCCCAATTTCAGCTAGCCGTCTATTCGGAGCCATCGCAAAAAAAAACGGTAGCACGAGCCGGAGGGGCTTCGCCACGGGGGGAGGGGGCACGGGGGTCCAGACCCCCTAAATAAGTTCAATTCTGCAATGCCACCCAATGTACAGTGATGCATGTTAGGTCGGAACCCCTCATTCGAGCATCTTCTCCCCGGCCGTGGATATCAAGGTTTGACCCTCTCCGTGCCAAAACAGTGACTCCCGTTTCACGTCAGTGTTGAACTTGACGCCACTGTATTTCTGCTACATCCATCCATAGGCTTTGTCTTAGTCGTGGGCTAAGCCGCACAGCGTTTCTTAGCGACGCATCAGTCAGGATTCATAGTTGCGTCGATTTATCTAATCTTGATCTGACTCGCTGAACAGTGCTGGCAAGAAAGCGGCCCTTCCAGCCATGCAGCAAGTCACGCGACACCGATGGTTAATCCCAGCCTCGGGCGAGGGGCGGCCAATAGTGGATGACGTCACAGGTCACAAGGGCGACCCCAGGCTCCAAACAGTGGAAGGTGACGAATTATCAGTAGCTCCGTTGCACGTAGTAATGCAACCTTTTCATGGGGCAGATCATGTTGTGTGACTTCTTTGTGGGTGCTATTTATGATCATTGAAATGGATCAAGTGTAACTGCACCAAGCTATGCGTGGTCGCCATAATTCCGTACCCTGGGCGCGCCCTTGCGCTGGAAGGCGTGGCCCAGCCCACCGCGGCGGAGCTCCCCCGGCAGCAGCAGCGCTGGCGGATTCGAGGAGCGCGGCCGGCGCGAACTGATTGACTCGGCGGGAACCGGAACGGAAAAACGTCGAAGATATTCAAATCATCAATCATGGTCTTCATATACCAAATGGAGAAGAATATGGGGTAAGCAAATAAGCAATATGGAATTGTCTGCCCAACACTGAGTAACATAAAAGTAGCGTCAGTTGTAAAAATCACTAGCTGAACTTGTTATGCCTTGTCTGAACCAATGTGCAAAGAAGTGTCCCATTATGAGTGATTTGGGTCTGAGAAGCAAAAATTGGATATGACTTCAATGCTAGCTTGACATAAAAACAGGGATGGGATGGGCCATTATCATGAGGTCCTTAAATAATTTTGCCAAAAAGCCCCAGTATGCATCTTTAACTTAGTAGATGGATCCTCCCTTATGGCCATATAAACAAACCATTTACTCCTATTTATTTGACACGAAATCATCTTCTATTCCCACCTCACACCAGTCTACACAATCTTAGTCAGAGGTAGGAACCATGAGTACTTTGACATAGCAAAATGAAAGCTAACATTACCAAAATAAGAAATTAAAGTGACCATCCCACCTTAACATTAGTTTTGAGTTGAGATAGCCAAATTGGTGGCCATGGCCTGAAAATACCGGTTTGGGCACTCACAACATCGAAAAATGCTTTAATTCGGAGATATGGAATTTCAAACTTGCAGTTTTCGGATTCTAAGGGGCTAATGCATTGGTATGCCCCCTTAGAATTTGTGACGTCAGCGGAGGTCTAACAGTTTTTAAATCTCTTACTAAAACGTTTGGTAGCACGCGGTGGTATATGCTGCTTTGCGCGCAACAAATGCCGCACTTTCAAATAAAGTCGCTAGGAACAGCGGAGAACCCAAAAAGTAAACAAAAGTAAAAGTCTAATATCTTGAAAACCGGTGAATATTTTTCGATGAAATTTGGTACATATTCGTTTTCGCTCTTTCTGAACCGAGCGACATCACTTTCATGCCAATTCATTAACTTTTTTGAAGGTGGGAGGGTCCCTTTAATACTGTGATTCTATTACCAGATGCACTAGCTTGTCAACTTGCCAGCTGAACCTACAAAAAGTTGAAAGTATAAAGAGGGATAAAATAATATGGAGTTGTATTGATAAAGCACAAGGAACAATGATCACTTCAATTCAAAGAAAAAAATTATTGACTACATTCATTTTCAAATAACGTGATAATAATAATGTAAATACACATTTTAAAAATGGCTCAAAGGTCATGAAGTATAACACTCCACATTTTCGACTTATACATCATAATCAACTCACATATTAAAAAATACAAAGGAACCAGCTTTAATCAACAGTTTTTCTAGTAACTCCAACATGTAAGATTATACAGATTATTTAAGCAATTGATTGTTCATTTTAATTTCAGTACTGCATAAACATTATTTGAATTACCTACACATTCAAACCACAGCTCGATCGACCCTAAAAGCCAATTAGCTATATCGGCCTGAAGCAAAAGATGCTGTGATAACTTGAGAATGACCTTAGCAGGAATCTGGCAAACATGACTTAAAAAAGATTGGCCAAAAGATTCTTTGAATCATTTCACAAATTCTGCTCACTTAAGATAGACTGAAGTAGATAGGTAGGTAGCACTTTTGTATTTCAAGCCTCAAAAGAATTGATCTCAGAAATGCACAAAATGACATTCAGGCATGTGCAGCAAAAATTCTTTTTGACTATATTCTTTCATAAATTTACAAGGTTTACGCAGCACCTTATATTCATGGATATTTTTGTGAAGAAGCTTACACAATCACCTTATATCAGAAGATAAATGACAAGCTATGTCATGCCAAATTTAAAGCAGATTAAAATTTAAAACCCAAACTTACAAGCAGCTGCTCTGGTACCCATCGTTGCTTCTTTCAGTGATGAGTAACTGCTCTAATTCAGATTCTCATCTTGATCAAGGCCTCCAGTTATACATTTTGATTGTCACTATCCGGACCAATAAGCGAAATGTCAGTGCTTCCTGTTCTTGAGATCTCACAGCAGCGTCTTCCTCGCATCAATATGAAACCAATGCTAGAAATACAGGCAAATGTAATCGCACAATTTAATTTACTGGCTATAGGTTACGGGGCATCATGATCACGATATTGAGATTAAAAAAATCAAAGTATCATTTACGCAACCCAACACATATGGGTTTGGTCCCGTCGCTCCTCTAACCTCCTCCAAGCTCCTCTAACCTCCTCTCGTTTCAAAAAATCGTTCCCGTCGCTCCTCCAAGCTCCTCCAAGCTCATCTTGATTTCACATCTCACCACCACTATTTGCCTCCTCCCTCATCCCAAACGAAAGTTGGTTTTTCGGAGGAGGCTCTTGCGTAGACATATTTGGCGCACGTAATACAAATGTGAGTTGTTTATAAATGAGATTTGAGGGAAGTGGAAATGATTTTAGTGGTTGATGACGATTGGATATCTTTAAATAGTAATGTTTGATATTAATCTAAGGTTATTTTATTAGAAAGCGATTATTATCTCTTGATTTATGTTTGCGCGCCATAAATCGCCGACCGTTACAGCCCGCAAACAGCTGATTTCCTCGCGAAAATGTTCCCGTGGCTCCTCTGAAACGGCTCTCCTCCATGCTCATCCAACCTCATCCGAGATTTTTTGGGAGGAGCGACGGGAACAGACCCATACGCGCATACGAGAAATCATATTTTGTCACCGTCAAGCCAGGAACGTCTCTTTAGCAGACAATCGATAAAACATCATATTCTACTGCAAGTATATATAAATAAAAATTTCATTGTAATTTGAAAAGTTTAAACGTTATTAGATGTTATTTTAGTGTTTTGATATGTTTTTTGGAATAAATAAATGTAATTTATCATTGGAGGAACTTTTTACTAAGAGAAAACACCCAAAACCTTACAGCCCTGCAAAATAACTGCAATCATTGCAAATCTACCAACTCTTGGGAAAGCCTCGTTTTAATTGCTACAAAATATATTTTTCAAATATTCATCATTTAACATGTATCTCAGGCCTTCATTTCAAAATGTTTTCAATATTTAACCTTGTTTTGTTCAAAGATTTCTACAGTTTCCTTGACGCGAATCGCCTTGTGATCTGTTTTTTTCACTTATTACCATTTTTATATTCATAAGGAGCATTAAAATAAAGGTAAGGAAGATTTCTGACATTTCCATGAAAAATTATGGTTCAACGTGGGTTCAACAATCAACGAACGCAATTGTCATAAATGATTGCTAAATTTATCGCTGTTTTTTTTTTTGCACAAAATTAGCTTACCGAAGAGATGCTTACCGAAGAGATAGGATACGGGGGTAAGGGAGCAAACTAAGGATGCTCGTAGTGGCTACCCCCTCTCGTCATTTGTTCTGCGACATGTTGGTCATATCTTCTCTTGAACTGGTTGATGTTGTCGCTGGATACCACATGTTCTGGTAAACCGTTCCACATGTCGACCACTCTTGCTGAAAAGAACTTGTTGCGCTTTAGTGTTCGATGTCTTGGTTTGACGAGCTTCATCTGGTGTCCTCTAGTTCCCAGGTACCTGTCATCCAGCTTGAGGAATGTGCTGTCAACCTCAACTCTGTCCAGACCTTTCAGGATTTTGAAAGTTTGAAGCATATCTCCGCGCGTTCTTCGCTGCTCTAACGTTGTCAGCCCAAGAGCACTCAGTCGGTCTTCATATGGTAAATTTCTAAGTGAGGGAACCAGCTTTGTCGCTCTCCTCTGCACCTTTTCGAGCTTTTGAATGTCTTTTTTGAGATAGGGTGACCATGTCTGGATCGCAAACTCCATCCTGGGTCGAACCAGCGCCTTGTATAGTGGTGGAAGGATCTTGTCATTGAGGCATGTGAAAGTACTCCTTATACGGCCCAACATGGAGTTTGCTGAGGACGCAGCTTTGGCAACTTGTGCTGAGGGCTTGAGATCTGTTGAAATCAGAACTCCAAGGTCCTTTTCTTGTTCAGAGTGAGCCAGTTGAACTCCTCCCATGCTGTAGCTGCAGTTGGGATTTCTGGTACCGAAGTTCATGACCTTGCATTTATCCTGATTGAACTTGAGTAACCACCTGTTGCTCCACTCTTGTAGTTTATCCAGGTCTGCTTGGAGTTGCTGCTGATCCTCATTGCCTCTCATACGCCTGTAAATCTTGGCATCATCTGCGAAGAGCTTGCCCTCTGAGTGAACTTCATCAAGCAGGTCATTAATGTAGACAAGGAAGAGGATTGGCCCCAATACGCTGCCCTGTGGAACACCACTCCAGACTTTTCTCCAGCTTGAGAAACTTCCTCTTATGGTCACTCTCTGCTCTCGGTCTGTTAAGAATGACTTTATCCAGAGAAGTAGTGGGCCATCGATTCCTGCAGCCTTGAGTTTCGTTATCAGGTGATTATGTGGAACTGTGTCAAAAGCTTTGCAGCAGTCTAGGTAGATGGCATCTACTGCGTCACCTTCATCAAGAGCATTCTGAACCTCATACAAGTACTCCAGAAGCTGGGTTGTGCATGATTTGCCAGACCGAAATCCATGTTGCTCCTTACAGAAGAAATTGAAACTTTCCAAGTGGGAAACTAGGTGGCCTTTCACAAGTCTCTCCAAAACCTTGCAAACTACTGATGTAAGGCTGATCGGTCTGTAGTTGAGTGGATCCGAACGGCAGCCCTTCTTATATATCGGAGTTACATTTGCCTTTTTCCAGTCACTTGGGATGCTTCCTGTACTCAGTGATTCCTGGAAAATCATTGTCAGAGGCTTGCTGACATTGGTTGCACAATTCTTGAGTAAAACTGGGTGGATTCTGTCAGGGCCAGGTGCAGATGGTTTGAGTTCGGAGAGTAGCTTTTGCACCTCGGCTTTGGTGATGCTGATGGATGAGAGTTTATCCCCATTGAAAGCTGGTAAGTCTGGAGGCACATTGTCAGTCTTAACAAAAACCTTCTCAAAACTTTGATTCATTATTTCACAGGTCTCTTCAGGTGTGTTTGAAAGAAACCCTTGGTCATCCTTGACTGTGGTGACTTGTTCCTTTATGGTTGTTTTATTTCGAGCATATGCGTAGAAAGCCTTTGGATTCAGTTTTACCTCTCTGGACAATGCCAAAGCTCAGCTTTGTAGACATCTTATAGCGCGTCAGAGACAAAATATCGAACTTTGAGAAACTTTCCATTTTTGATATGCTCCCTATGCTCCTTGGATCAAGGCCTTGGATATAGGCGGTTATATGGCCTTGGATATAGGTACTGTGCATTTTTGTTTCCGCTAGGCACTTTATTGAGAAAGTGGTAATTGATAAATAATAATGCTTTGTAGGAGATTCCTGCTTGTAGATGAGAGTAACTGAACTCATCACTGAAATGCGTACCTATTGTCAATGACAATACAAGGCCCGGTAAAGCAGGTCAAATTGTATTCTTACCAAGTTGTGTAATGTGTTGCGTGTTTGGTGCATTTCTTGATCGAAATAACCATAGGTCTGTATATCTATGGAAATAACGTTTTCCTTGCAGATTCGGCTGATATTCTGATCCACCATGACGCTGGTCCGTCTGCTGAGGGTGGCTGTCTTCCCCCTGCCACGTCTGGCAGGTGGCAGTGCGCCTGGTCAACGCCTCCAAATGGCTTCAGTGTTAACATCACAGCGGCCAATGTGGCGCAGCCTCTTCACTGCAAGGCCACTACTACAGGCAGCAGACAAGGCTGTTAAGACTAAGGTGGCACCTCGAGAACTGCGGCGTTTGCTGGCTCTTGCTAAGCCAGAGCGCTGGAAGCTTGGAGGTAGGCATCATATTTTCCTTGAACACACTAGCAGAGTCTCAGACTCAACAAGACTAGTGGCTGAAATACACTAGCAGACTCAAAAGGGGCATGTATTGCATTTACCCTTCCTGGAGCATCTAAAACTGATATTTTTTGTTGTTTGTCCTACATTTAATGGAAGTGCTTTCTGGGCAGCTTTAAGAATAGGTAGATACTTAACTTTAAACTGCACAGCTATGAAGTAGAAAGAAGTAAAATCTGGAGTTTTTCAGCTTGGAAAGTTTTGAAAAACCAGGCTTTGATCAAATCTACCAATAATTAGTGCTTGATGTGCGTGCACCCAAGCCCAAGTAACTGGTCTAGAAGCACAGCTTGGCATTTATTTTCATCAGAATATTCACATTGACAGTATCAATTGTGTTATTAAAGAATTTAACCACTTTCCTGACACAGTCCCACAAGTCTTCTCCATTTTTCACATGTTGATTTCAACAGCAGTAATCACCTGTTGATGCCAATATCACACAGCATGCTACCCATCATGCACCTTTCACTAGTAATATAACTGTTACAGCCTCCTGTCTGCCCCTCCCCTATATCCCTCCCCTCTGCCCCTCCCCTATGCCTCTCCTTCTTCCCCTCCCCACACTCTAACAGTATGACTGTCGTTCACCTCTCTACCCTTCCCTGCCTCCCCTCCCCTGCTCTGGCAGTGTGTCTGTCACATGTCCCCTCTCTGTGCCCGCCAGGAGCTGTGTGTCTGCTGCTGGTGTCCAGCGCCGTGACGATGGCAGTTCCGTTCGCCATCGGGCGAGTGGTGGACATCATTTACCGCGAGGAGGCCGGCCAGGCGCGCGACCGTCTTGTCACCATCTGTCTGGGCCTGGCAGTGGTGTTTGTGATCGGTGCGGCGGCCAACTGCGGGCGGGTCTACCTGATGACTGTGTCAGGTCAGTGGCGCCGTGAGCTGAGTGTAGACGGAAGCGGAAACGGTAGATGCTCCCTGTGACAGTGTTGGGGGGGGGGGGGGGTGGAGGGTGAGTGAGGGGATATTTCGTACTCTAAGCTTTTGCTGTGCTCGTGATAGAAGGCGTTTACTGATAGGGAAAGGCGGTTAATATATTGCTAAAAGCATTTGCATCATCATTCATCACAGAATATCGTCGTACGTCGGACATTTATCGCATTTTTCCCCAACCTTTTTTTTTCCTAGGACGTACTTAAAACCAGAATGCTTCAATGATGACAGCACCGCTTTCTGCCTTGCAATATAAATGCTGTGATCAGTCATAGTAGGGCACATATGATCATGCCCAGACATATCACTCTGACACACCTTGCAAAAATGAGCCCCTCTCTCTCCTCACAGGCGCTCGGATCGCCCAGGCGCTGCGCGGCTCCGTGTTCGGCACGCTGATGCGACAGGAGGTGGCCTTCTTCGACCGGAGTCGGACCGGCGAGCTGGTGAACCGGCTGTCGGCTGACACGGCCCTGGTCAGTCAGACTGTGACCAGTAACATCTCCGACGGACTGAGGGCCACCGCCATGGCTGCCGCCAGCGTCTCCATGATGGTGGGTGGGAGTATCGGGGTGGTATCTGGGAGAATATTGTGGGGAGATGGAGGGAAGATGGCAGGAGGATAGAAGGATAGCAAGGGAAGGGAGATGTGAAAAGTAAGGGAGACATGATGGTATAGAGAACAGAGCTGATAGGGTGTAGGTGTGAATCACTGGCGCAGGAGTGATACGAATTTTTGCTGTATATTCTGACATTTTTCATATTAGCTGAGAGATAACGTATGCCTTACGGTACGTAGCGCTGTGACCTCTCTAACTGTTGTGTATCTGTGCGGCAGTTTTACGTGTCGACGAAGCTGGCGATGGTGGGTTTGGCCATCGTGCCTCCTGTGGCGATGGTGGCCGTCGTATACGGCAGATACGTCCGAAAAATCACCAGACAAGTGCAGGTAGGTCACAGAGGAATACTGTGGCAAAAAAAAAACAGTAAACGATTTTTTTTTCATTTATCCTGAGTTAGGCGGTTTGGAATGATTTGTGTGATTGAAATGGATTAATGTGAACGAATTGATGCATGCTGTGCTGCGTTCATACATATACACCTCATCGTTGTGTACCTAATGCTTGTCGTTTTTTCTACATTCATGATCATTCAACAAACACTGCTTCATGCTCTGCTGCTTTCTTACTCATTATTCCTTTTCCCTTCCCCGTAGGATTCCCCTCCCCCAACAACACCACGGCAATAGCCGTCTGATGCCCCTCTTATGACGCCCGCCCTGTGACCCACAACCTCCGCTAAAGGACGGTCTGGCTGAGGCGAACGCGGTCGCTGAGGAGAAGCTGGCCAACATGCGCACCGTGCGGGTCCTGGCCCGGGAACAGCAGGAGACGGAGAACTATACCAACAGCACACTGCACGTGCTGGAGCTGAGCCGACGCGAGGCCATCGCACGAGCCGGCTTCTTCGGAATGGTAACCCTATCGGCGCGGCGTGGACTATTCCAACTTCCACAGCTCGAGAACAGTGTGCTGAACCGTTCTTCACGTTCTCGTATGTACTCATTAAATCTCGTCTACTCATTATGTGACTTTAAATCCATTTTCATTGAACTTGTGCATTATGTACGTTTACAGTAGGCTGCAATTACAGCTGACCGACCTTCCAATTTTCCTATTTCATTATGCCTTTTTATGAAGTTTCTAACAAATACGCGTTCCATTTCACTACCCTGCTAAACTGCATTGTCCCTCTTCCCCATATTCCCTCTCCATTACGTCCTGTTCGGTCCCTGTGAGTGACCCTTACACCGACTCGTTCCCTGTGTATCGGCAGACGGGTCTCAGCGGCAACAGTGTGATCCTGGCGGTGCTGTATTACGCCAGCACGCTGGTCGGAGCCGGGGAGGTCACTGTCGGAGACCTGTCCGCCTTCCTCCTGTACGCCGCCTACGCCGGAGTGGCCGTCGGTACGGGGGGAAGGGGAACGGTGGGAATGGAGATACGGGAGAGTTGTCTATTCTCTTCGTAGTGTGCAGTAGAAATACATCATTTACTGTTTTAAGTATTTAATCCAAGATACCATTTTCGCTTGTTGAGATGAAACTGAAATATTTCATAATTTTGCGATCTTCTTTTTTTTAATCGCTATCCGAGTTATTGCAATTTGCTACTTTGCGATGTGCACCGTTGCGGTAATATGACAGCCCCCTCTGTGTGCTCCGCCCTCAGGCGGTCTGAGCTCGTTCTACACAGAGCTGCAGCGCGGCCTGGGCGCCAGTACGCGCCTGTGGCAGCTGGTGGACCGTCAGCCGGAGCTGCCCTTCACGGGCGGACTGCGGCCGGAGAGCGTGCGCGGAGACCTGGGGTTCAGTGGAGTGACGTTCTCCTACCCCAGCCGGCCGGAGGACGCGGTGCTCCAGGACCTCAGTCTCACCGTGCCGCACGGTCAGTGGGTGGGGAGGGAGGATAGTGAGGGACAGGGCGGGCGGGGGTAGTAGTGGCACAAGTCGGGCCGGTTGACTCAGTAGTGCGAAGTCAATTATGTTGGTAATATTTTTTCTGATGAATTTGCGCTTTTTTGTCTTTATTGCTAGCCTCGACGCTGATGAATTTGTGTTTTTTTTTTTTGTCTTTATTGTTTGCCTCGACGCTTGCTTTAGCCGTTATTCTTCCCTGTTACCACTCCACTCGCACTGTTCATTAACATCTGCACCCACCCTTCGTTTTACTCTCTCAGGCTCTGTGATGGCGGTGGTGGGCGCCAGTGGCTCGGGTAAATCCACCATCGCCTGGCTGCTGCTGCGGCTGTATGACCCACAGGCGGGCACGGTGACACTGGACGGCACAGACGTCCGGAAACTGGACCCCATGTGGCTCCGGGAGCAGATCGGTGTCGTCAGCCAGGTTTGTAGCGATGCGACTGTGAGGAATAATTGTGCGGTAAATATCTTCTTTGTCAGGTCGGCTGGTAAATGTAAGGATGACAGCGGTGCCTGTTGACATAGTGATGCTAGCCGTACTTTAGGATTTTGAATAGTTTTGTTATGGCCTTGTTATATAAGTTTTTTTTTCTAAGCTATGCAATAAAAACGTAAGTTCGAACACATCTGTGTGAGCCGCTTAGTCTGGACAGTCGTACAGCCGCTGACTTCTCCACTCACCCACCTTCCCCGCACACAGGAGCCGGTGCTGTTTTCGACCACTATCCGTGAGAACATCCTGTACGGCGCGCGGGACCCGGCCGCTGTCAGCGAGCAGCAGCTCCGCTCTGCCGTCCAGCAGGCCAACGCCGCCGAGTTCATCGACAGGTGGGGCGGGGCGCCGCGGGGACGAGGGGGGGGGGGGAGAACGAGAGAGGTGCACAGGACTATGACACGGGTCACGGGATGGGGAGATGGGGTCCGAGAGTGTGCTTTGTGGGGAATGGCAAGACACTTCGAGCTGACGGTATTGACGATATATTCGCTCATTGCGAAATTCTCTCATTTTTTTCGACTGGGCGTTCATTTTGTTCGTTTAGGCGCTCGTTCGTTCCTTCGCTAGTTTACACTTTCATTCTGTGCCGCATTCAGCTTATTCATAAATGCTGCACTTTTTCATTCATAGGAGAGGGAACGTAAACTATTTTCGCTATTTCTCATCATGTATTTTTTCTTTGATACTTGACTTTGTTGTGTCCTTTCATGTTGGGTTCTTACTCATGTATTTTGTACGTTTTTTGTGACGTCCGGGTTCAACGTTGATGCATATAAATGACTATGATCCAGCCTGCGGCGCTGATCTAAGCGCTGTGACGCTGGTTTCAGGCTGAGCCACGGGATGGACACAGTGGTGGGAGAGCGGGGAGTGATGCTGTCCGGCGGACAGAAACAGAGGATCGCCATAGCGCGCGCCATTCTCAAGGTCAGACCGGAGGGCAGCATAGCAGCCGCTTGCAATAACTCGTTTTTATCTTGCTTTTAGGTGTGCTCGCTTCCCTTTTGGCGGGAAAGATGCGTCATTTTATGCCATGGTTGATGAGAGCAGCCAGCAACTGTTCTTGGCTGTGCCTTATTTTATCCGTTGCAGTTCGATTTTTTATTTTTGGTCTCTCTTAACAGTCGTATCTCAATTCTCAATATGAACGCGTTCCTCGAGCATTGTCATATATAACTATTGCCGATAACGACGTGTTTCCCTCACTCCTCGGCAGAGCCCGCGGTTGCTGCTGCTGGACGAGGCCACTAGCGCGTTGGACTCGGAGAGTGAGAGTCTGGTCCAGGAGGCGCTGCGGAGGCTGATGGACGGGAGGACGGTCATCACCATCGCCCACCGTCTCAGCACCGTCCGACAGGCCGGTACGTCACGCCGCTCCCTCTGCCTGCGCGGGCCTCTGAGTTATACTGTCTCAGAAGACAGGACCGGTAGGCCAGCGTGTCACTGTGTAGTGTGTACGCAGCTGGAGTCATTTTGTAGGTGTATTGACCAGTTGGTAGTGGAGCTTTATATGTTCATCGTCCACCAGTAATCCCATTTAGGCACAGATTACGCGGTCACACAGTGGTGCACACTGCATGTGATAAGTTTTGGTTGAAACACCGTGCACACTGCACAGTAAGGTAATACCGTAATACCTACGCCTTTTCTCGTTTCTCGTTCCCCAGACTGTATCGCGGTGCTAAGCGGCGGCACGGTGGCCGAACAGGGCTCCTACGAGGAGCTGATGGCTCGTCCGGACGGCTTGTTCCGTAAGCTGGTGGAGCGACAGACTATCGAGAGCTGAGAACGCCGAGCCAACAGGTGAAGGAGGGCGACGAGTGGATAGGAGCGCCGCCGCGCGACGGGTCACAGGATGTCGGTCGGTCGTGAGTACGAGACCGATCGAGAGACAGATGAAACGCGAGCCCCGCGGATGGATAACGAATATTGAAAGGTCAACACGTGGGTGAGATGCTATTTATTGTCGGCTCATCTAGGGTCAGAAGTTGGGTGTGGTTCGTAGGTTACCGCCCCTGAGACGGACTTTGAGCTTAGTTTGAAGCCCTCCGTATTCCGATCATACCGCCTGGTCTGCTTTACTGTTATGCTTCAGAGTCGGTAGCCACTTGTGTTCTTTAGTTCGATTTACCGATGCTTCGACGCGCAGAAAAGAATTGCTATACCTGTTCCGAATAGTTTTAATACGTTGCCCCTGTTATGTTGACAATTGACATGTACGGGGACTCGGTTGTGACTGGGTTCAACGTTGATGCATATTGAGATCCGCCAGGTAGTCCCCACTATGCACATCAGAATGTAGAAGAAGAAATATTGCGGAGTAAAGCATAATAAATTGCATAATTTACATGTAGAGCTTCCAAGCCTCTAGGATATTAAGTGTTAATTGCTGAGCTTCATTGGATAACGCAGTTCAAATACCGTAACTAATTAACATATCGGTCTAAAACACATTCAGTGCTACTGCCAATGGTTATCTGGCTGGCCTATTATAATTGTGCATGCTGGATTTTTATAGTTTATTCACACGCCTTACGGGCTGCCTCAATAGTCACTCACTGGTTGAGTCGAGAGGTGGCAGAGATGGTGAAAGCAAGCACGAGAGCTCAGCGTATGATATACTGGCTGTGAACGCCCCAGACACCGAGGTGACTCCGTCACATCAGCCGTCTGGTGCCGCCCGATCTAGATCGCTCTTCCATTACAGCCTCTCTCTCTCTCTCTCTCTCTCTCTCTCTCTCTCTCTCTCTCTCTCTCTCTCTCTCTCTCTCTCTCTCTCTCTCTCTCTCTCTCTCTCTCTCTCTCTCTCTCTCTCTCTCTCTCTCTCTCTCTCTCTCTCTCTCTCTGTCTCTGTCTCTGTCTCTGTCTCTGTCTCTGTCTCTGTCTCTGTCTCTGTCTCTGTCTCTGTCTCTGTCTCTGTCTCTGTCTCTGTCTCTGTCTCTGTCTCTGTCTCTGTCTCTGTCTCTGTCTCTGTCTCTGTCTCTGTCTCTGTCTCTGTCTCTGTCTCTGTCTCTGTCTCTGTCTCTGTCTCTGTCTCTGTCTCTGTCTCTGTCTCTGTCTCTGTCTCTGTCTCTGTCTCTGTCTCTGTCTCTGTCTCTGTCTCTGTCTCTGTCTCTGTCTCTGTCTCTGTCTCTCTCTCTCTCTCTCTCTCTCTCTCTCTCTCTCTCTCTCTCTCTCTCTCTCTCTCTCTCTCTCTCTCTCTCTCTTTCTCACTCTCACTCTCACTCTCACTCTCTCTCACTCTCTCTCTCTCTCTCTCTCTCTCTCTCTCTCTCTCTCTCTCTCTCTCTCTCTCTCTCTCTCTCTCTCACTCTCTCACTCTCTCACTCTCTCACTCTCTCTCCCACTCTCTCACTCTCTCACTCTCTCACTCTGTAACGATTTTAGCGGTCGAGTATATCTGGGTTCAGGCTGGTGGTGTAGTATGCCTTTGTGGTGTAATGGCTATCGTGTTTGTTTTTTTTTTTTCTTCAGAGGAATTCAGGCTGTCGTATACCGAAAGGGTTTCGATGCTTAGCAGCTTCCAGCTTCGTGTATTGCGGAAGCGTTGCCGAATTTCACCAAGCGAAATCGGGATACATAGTATTATTGTTATCACAACGGTTTGCTACAATGTCCTTTGCAGTGTTCTGAAGTCGGCATATTCATCTTGTACCGAACAAACTGCCTGCAAGTGAGAATCATGAACTGTGTTGAGCACCTGATCCGCTCTGTTGTACCCTTGTCGCGTTGCTCGCTATTTGTCTAGCGAGTGTGTATGTGTATACCCATGTCATTGAACGGGTAATTGGCTCTGCACTGGTGATGGTTTCAGGACCTGAATGTGCCGGAACGCCGGTACCGCTCGTCGTGAAATCAGTCACGTTTCGCTCGTGTTGAGCGATACAGTTGTTCGTTAGTTGTTACCGTACTGGGTGTTTCTGCCATGCGTGCGGTGCTGGTTATATGCCTAGTTATTTTTACAGATATGTTGATTGTATAAAATACATGTTTTTATCAAGGCCTGTCTGACACGTTTTGAACCTCAAACATATACAATTATGTGCTAAATTAATTTGTGATTCCTGGCTGTTGTATTCGTATGCCTCGGGGTTTATTTCATTTTCGTCGTCCCATGTTTTCGTGCCTTTCGGATGATGGAGCTTCGCCGCAAACCGCATCGAATCCTTTCGGGGCTTGTAGCCCCCTCCCCTCCCCCCATTGGCAAACCGTCTAAGTCGACCATTAGTTGCAATTATATATTTGCCACATTGACCGACTGACCAGCCTCTATGCACTATCGGAAATATGAGTTTTGCGTGGGAGCTCTGTATGGCCCCTAGCAACTCGCCCCCTGGTTGGGCTGGAGTTTCGTGGAAACAACGAAGACACGACAAAATCGATAAATCTCATCTCATTTTAAGGGCTTGGGTCATAAAGTGGCCTTCCAAGTCAGGTTCGAGGACCGACTACCGAGTCACGAGTGAAGTCAGATCAAACATCAAGGAATCAAGACGCACACGTAAGGATCATGGCTCGGACTGTAATGCCGGGCGTGTACAAAACGTCTGTAATGTGATACAATATAATATGATTTGCGGCCATCAAAAATCATCATTCATCAAAATTCATCAGATCAGATCAGAATAGTCGAGGCTCATGTAGGTCGTACTCGTAGGATGCATTTCAGACTGATAAAAGTTTATTTTGCTGAGATGTTTGATTTGAAGAGACGTTTCAACACTGTTACAAGACGCATAGGCAATTTTGGAATTGCTCGAAATTTGGTAGGTAACAACTGGGACTGATTTGTGAAATTATTGTGGCGGGTCGTGCAAAGCAGTAAAGTAGTGCTCAATAACAAGGCCCTCAATAATCTTGCAGCGCTTTAACTGCTTCATTTTGAATCACATGCGCCACAAATTTAGAGATGAAGAAATTGAGGCGGGCATCATCGGTAAGAAATTATCGGTGTTAAATCTTTTCAATACAAACAATTTTTTAGCATATCGACTATTTTCGATGTTCAAAACTTAAGAATTAAATAATTTCACACATTTGTTCCATTTTACTCAGCTTTGTAGCTTTCTTTTGATAAGATACATTCTCTATCTTCCCCTCCCTTCTGCTAGTTTCACGGCAGTGCTGCCAGATTTGGAGGATTTCCGCAAATCTGGAGGATTTTGAACTCTATTTGCGGACAAATTTCGCTTTTGGAGGATTTTTGATTCTGGAGGAAAATCTGGAGGATTTGTCGCCCGATTATTATATTCAATTTCATGGAAAAATATAGCACATTCAAGACTAAAAAGGCATTTTCCTGCCCAGCGTCACCCTACCCGTTAGGATATATCACGTCCTTAATCCTTTATCACCGTGAGACTGCAGAATGTCTCAGTCTGTAGCTATATTTACGAGGGTACCAAACTACTGGCGGATCTAAGGGGACATTTGGGGCAAATGCCCCCGGCCCCCCCTGCAGCACCCGAAATCGACGAAAATTTTCGTTTTTTTTTTTAGATAAAACGAAAACTCAACAACTTTTATAAGAAAAAGTATCTTTTAAACTGCACAGCAGTGGGAAAGGATTCGAAATCCGATGAGTTTTTAGAATTTGGTGAAACTTTTTTTGGGGTATAGCCCCCCGCAGCGTCCAAGACCGCCTTTCTATATCTACCAATAGGATTTGGAGGAATCTGGAGGATTTTTGTAACTGATATGGAGGATTACAGCCTTCCCCATCTGGCAGCACTGTTTCACGGTCATAGATGCTAGTTTCCTGTCAACAACCGAAACAGCAGAAGCGACTCGCTGTTTTCTATAATTTTTCCTATTTTATGCTTAGTTTCCTTTGATATTTTTGGCTCAATTATTTTCAGGTAAGTACAATTCGCCGAATTAATGACCTGATATTGTGAAATGAATTTGTATCATGTGCTTTTTGACATTCAACAGGTGGATTAAAGCATGGTGCCATATTCATATTACGCCGGATTTGGTTGTAAGAAAATGATGCATCAGTATGGGTGAGAAGTTCAAATTAAGCTCAGTCAGGTATCTTTTTATTGTGTTATTGTTTAATTTTATTGTTAAGTTCCTAGGTAAATTTTCATTCAATCTAGGAAGTGGCTGCTTGTTACGTATTGCTGACTGCCTTTGTCACGTGTTGTGTTTTGTGTTGTTCCTGATACGCAAATAAATGTGTAATATAATCAGCTTAAGTGCTATTGAATTATTAGCATTTAACAGTTAAAAGCTTAACTGCCAGCTTTTTCTTATTGCATGCAAAGCTTGGTCTTTCTGCATACTGCACATGAGGGGTATGGGAACTTCAAGGTCACTACCACCTGCATTTGAATGATTAAGTTGTTAACCCATGAATGCTGCTTGGGTCATATATGACCCAAAAGCAACATCTTAACATTTTTTCTAAATGGAGGCAAGTGGCACTTTGAGGAACTTGTGCGTGTGTTGCGGCTGTCTTCTTCTTTTCTTCTTCTTCCTTTGCAGCTGTCGTGGCGTGTGGACGTGTCCAGTCGAGCTCCAGCTTCCATTGCAATTACAAACTATTTGCACACTTATCACTCATCACTGATACATTTTGGGCACTTCTGGTCAAAGAACACTCAAATGCCTACGCAAATCCAGTAAGATGCCACTTTCAAGGTCACCACCACCCACCGGGAGAACGCGCCGGACAGTTTCAAAATCCGATTCTACACGCATTTCGACGAATGTGGAAAATCTTCCAGCGTCACTTTCGCCTCAAACTCGTGAGGATGGCGTTGTGGGCGTCCCCGTGGACAATGGGAAGAATGTGAACGCGTTGGCAAAAACCAAGAAAACCAGTGTAAGTACTGATGAAAGTGATCATGAAAAGGAGAAGTTAAATCCGGAAAGAGAAGGTAAGAAGCAGCGCTCAGGCAAAACGGCCACCGTAACCTCAGATGAGAGAGAGGAAAATGCAGGGGAAACAGCTAAGGGAAGGAACAGTAGACCAGAACGCAAAGACATTCAGCATAATAGACAGGAAGTGGGAGGGAAAGAAACTGCTCGCACTAGGGGGGCAACCCTTGTAGAGGATGGTATTGCTAACTGCGATGTCGGTGCTACCAAGGCGTCAGGCGAAGACCCCTCTGAGCGGGAGAAAACTATTCCTGCCACTAAAATCGGTGAGAGGGAGGGCTTGGGAAAACCCACACTCACTGGGTCAGCCATCATCCCTATGCAGGAAAGCCTGGATACAACCCAAATTCTTGATGAAATGGAGAAAAATGATCCCCCAGAGGTGCGTAGACTTGACAGCGAAGTTTATAAACCATGGGGATCCAGATCCACAAACACAAGCCCAGAACCGGGAGCACCAAAACCAGCAGGAGGGACAAAGAACGACAGGTCAACTTGCAAAGGCGGTCCAGGGAAACCAAAGTGTGGCACTCTAGTTAAGGAAGGAGAGGATGCAATTGAGTGTGAGAGATGCATGAACTGGTTTCATTCCAAATGTCAATCAGTGTCAAAAGCAGCTATGGGAGCGCTTAACAAATGGCACGGCACTCTAGTCTGGCTCTGCGACCAGTGTACCAAATCACTGAAAGCTATACCTGAACCCCCGAAACCCTGTCACTGCTCGGAACTTGCTCAGTCAATAAACGAATTGAAAGCTGTGGCTCGTCACAATGCCAAGGTCCTCAATGACTCAATCCAGAACCAGGAAAAGCTGTTCACTGGACAGTGCAAGCTCATAGACAAATTGTCAAGCACTACCATTGATGAGGGACAGAGGCTGAGCTATGCAGAAGCAGTAAAGGGAGTTGGGGATGAGGTAGTGGAGAAAGTGGCAAAAAGGATTGAAAAGCTGCCAGCGGTGATGTTGCCAGTGAAGCGCTCCCATGAAGAAGTCGCAGGTCTCATCGATGAGATCCAGGATAAGGAAAGACGGAAGCTCAACCTTGTTATTCATAATCTGCCAGAATCAGAGGGCCAGTCATATGCAGTCAGGGCAGAAGAGGATGGAATGAAGTTTAGAACCATGGTCAAGGAGGGTCTTAAGCTCATGGTCAAAACTACAAAGAACTTCCGAGTTGGGAAGAAAGTGGAGAACAAGCCGAGGCTTCTAGTTGTCACTCTCACCAATATGGAGGACAAAATGGAGATCCTCAGGTCAGCGGCATCCCTGCGGGACACCACATGGAACAGGGTGTACATCACCCCTGACCTTACCTGGCAGGAGAGAGAGAAGGGCAGGCAGTTGAGGAGTGAGCTAGCTCGACGGAAGGAAGCAGGCGAAGTGAACATTGGAATAAGACATGGCAAGATAGTCCCTATCGCTGCCGCTGTCCCTAAGAGGCCTCAAATCCAAAGAACACAGCACGCTCAAACTCAGCACCAGCAACAGGACATCACTATCACAGCAAGCCGGGAGATCAATGCTTTGACAAATGGCAGTGCTGGCACGCCAGTCACCCCAAACGTACAAGCTGGGCCCAATAGGTCAAACGAATGGGAGAATGATGGCCTTGGGGCGCCCAGACAATCAGAACAGGGTGGGGCTACTGCGGCCCCAGACCCAACCCCTCAGCAGTGACTAGATGGGGCTAGAGAAGTTGGAGAACCTGAGAGGGAACCGGCTTCAGCCAACAAGAGGAAGCAGCTAAAAGTGATCTACACCAACATAGACCAGTTTGTTAACAAAAGAGACGATCTTTGTATGATGGTTGCGACTGTGGAACCAGATGTGATTCTCCTGGCTGAGGTGATCCCCAAAGCTCAGCTCAAGCCTATTGGGCAAGCACTGCTAGCCATCCCATACTACACCATGTACCTAAACTTCGACCCAGATGTCTGCAACCTCGGCAGAGAAGGGCGACGGGGCATTGCCATCTTTGTCAAACCAGAACTGAGAGCAACAGAGGTGTCCTTTCCCACTTGTCCACTGGTCGAGCACCTATGGATAAAAATACCTCTCCGAAGCCCTGACCAGTTGCTTTTGGGATGCATATACAGAAGTCCCTCAGTCAATGGTTAT